ATTTTTTCACGAGTTGTAAAATAATGTACCACAGTAGGTTGGGTGAAACCCATGAAATTCGACAACTATGGAAGGTTTGCATGCCTGTCTTAAACTCGTCGTTTGCGCAGACCTAAGACATCGACGCGTGGGTCTGCGCGTAGGAAAATTCAAACCACAAATCAGCCTTTAGTGAAATTACTGTATACAAAATACTGTGCTATATCTGTCAATTCTGTGAATATTGTTCACGAGAGATAATTTTACAAATTTGTTCAAAATAAATCCAAGATTATGAAGCCCTTGACAGAATTACTCAAATATGTTCCTAAGCATAATCCAGTTTTAGCGCAGGATATTGAAAGGTTGAAAACATTCATTTTTAATTCAAAAAAAATTCTTATTCTTACTGGCGCTGGCATATCAACAGAATCAGGTAGGAAAATTAACTTTTTGTAAAATGATGAATGTTGAGTTTTTTATTGAAGGGATTCCAGACTATCGATCTGAGGAAGTAGGATTATATGCTAGAACAAACCACAAACCCATCCAACATTTACAATTTATCAAATATCCAGAAGTGCAACAGAGGTACTGGGCCAGAAATTATGTAGGATGGAATACTTTTTCTCAACGTCAACCTAATGCTGTTCACTTCTCAATACGTAACTTAGAACTTGATCACAATAAAGTAAGAAAAAATAAACTGGGCAAGTACTTTAGGCACTAGGTGGGCTCTATGAAATGAAGGATTTCCAAATATTCTTCAGGTATCTACTGTAGTTACCCAAAATGTGGACAACCTTCATTTCAAAGCTGGTAGCCAGCAAGTAATAGAATTACATGGTACAGCTTTCAGGGTCATCTGTTTGGAATGTGAAGCTACATACAGTCGTTATTATATTCAAGAAAAGATTCGGGAGTTGAATCCATGCATGTCAGAAATTTCTACAATGATTAGACCTGATGGTGACGTTGAAATACCTCAGGTAAGCAACATTCTAGAAGCCATGCCCCATGACCTTTCACATTTAACCTCTAACTGGTCGAATTTTGTGACTTGAACTATTGATTACAGTGGTTGCACTTGTTGATTAATTTTAGAGCAGGATTGTCAAACATCTTTATTTAGCATTATTCTGATCACAATATGCCCATTTACTCACTGAAAAATCACTTGCATTTCAATCCTAATGTTTTTTTGTCATTCGCTATTCTCCAAGTTTACCGCTTTATTTCTAAACATTAGATTGATGCTAAAGAAACTTGGAAAACTATAAAATATGCCACAAATGAAAACTACAATAGATCTAGTACCAATAACATAGTGAGTGAGGATGGGAGGGTAATTGAGGATAACAGGAATAAAAACTTGTAAATTCCTTAAAAGAGCAGGAAAATATAAATAATGACCTGTTTTTTAGGACTGAAATGATCATAAATATATTAAAAACAGTGATTCTAGTTTAGGAAATGGTATCTCAAATAAAATAATGAAAAATTTGTGTGAATTTCTGCTAAAACCCTTATTGCACTCAATAAATCTTATTTCTGAATTTGGCATCCCTCCAGATGCACTGAAAAAAACAATCGTAATCCCCTTTGAAAAAAATTACTCAAAGGATATATTAAGCAATTATCGCAAAATTGTTCACACAAACATAAAATATTAAAAATGCATTGAATTGAGGTTATGTAATTATTTAGCAAAGCGTAAGTTATTATCATCAAACCAATACGGTTTTAAAAAAAACTGTGCCCTAATTGAGCTGTCTAATCAACTTATTGATAGTTTCAACAACAAAAAGAAATGTTTGGTTATTTTCATTGACGTATCTAAGGCTTTCAACACTCACACCTTATAGTGCTGGAGAAACTTGAGAAAAAGGCAATGTGACTGACGTCTTCTCTATAATTTGTTCGAATTTTATTTGGGAAATTGCTGCCAGAAGGTTAAAATAAATGTCTGAGTAAGTCAGCTGCAGTAACATACGGCATGCCACAAGGGACGGTCTTGGGCACAGTGATCTTTTGTTATATATGGATTTTTTGTTTTTAGTTTCCAAAAAGGCTAATATCATATGCTATGCAGATGAAACTGTCATTGTTGTTTGTGAGAGGATATGGGAAAACATTCTGACCATGGCAGAGGAAATCATATCAAAAATCAAAAGTTGGTTTGATGCCAGTCTGTTTTGTATTAAAATCGAGAAATTCCACTTTATGTGCTTTATAATGATTGAGGCTACGTCACCAGAAATTTCAACTCTAAGTACAAAAATGTTACCACCAAATTATGAAACTGTAGATGAAATTAAATATACTAAGGAGTATTTTTTGACAAGCCCATGAAGTGGGAAATGTTAAATATATTTGTGTACAAATTTTATATCTTAAAGAATTCTATTTTGACATATGGGACATTTATTTGGGGTGCTGGATATTTACCTCTAATCACCTCTAATAATAACGTAAAAAGCAATAGTAGGGATTGTCGGTCTACAGTCCACCCCCACTTCTCCACTTTTCGTCATTACCCAGTCGACCAATCAGAAGCCACCGCGCGCACACCGGGAAATTCAAATTGTTCTCACTTCAACGAGGCAGGTCACTTATCCAAGCGCACCAGTCGCGTGTTTCCAGTGACCGTCGGCGGCTGGAAATTTCATAGGAGTTGAAATAAAAAATATTATTGGTTAGAGATTTGAACCTAGCTCGTCGGCGCGGTAGACTTGTCGTCAGCCTCGACACGATCGTGGGATATTGGTAGTTATAGCGAACTGGGCGATGGGGCCGGCCTCGATTTGGTCATTGAATCGCTCTTCGAATTGTTTTATTTTCATTTAAAAGCAAACGTTTTTCTCTAGAAGATTCATTCATAGAAGCAAATGTGGTGCACCTTTTTCAACTCTATATTAAAATAGTTGACAGACTGTATTGTAAAAAGTTACCAAGATCCAGTGCAAATCATCAAAAATGTTTACTTTTCACAGCTCCAAAAATTTTCAACTCTGCCACAATAATTCAAGAATAAAACATTTGTCAAGATAAAAAAATCACTATCTAAATAGATAAGAATATAAAAACAAATAATTTATTCTAGTTATAATAATACTTCCTATACTTTGCCTTCTTATTAATCCGTATCAGGATAAGTATATTTTCTTTAGTTCAATTTGTCTATTAGACATTGGAAAAAGTGAACACACAAACATTATCTTCATCCTGTACCTAACCCTCTACTGGAAAATTAAATAACATAGAAAACAATGAACTTAGTCACACTAATCAGTTTGTTTTTTATAATTGATATGAAAAATATTCATTTTAGGAAGAAATTGATGAGTTCAAAGCTCCATTATGTGAGTCATGTGGAGGAGTGTTGAAGCCTGACATAACATTTTTTGGTGATAATGTACCCAAGGCACGTGTACAATCTGTGAGAAATGCTGTATCGGAAAGTGACTCAGTGCTAGTTCTAGGTTCTAGCCTGTCGGTATTTTCTGGTTATAGGATAATACTGCAAGCTGTGGAAGAGAATAAAAACATAGGTTTGATTAATATCGGTCCTACCAGAGCTGACGGACTAGTGAACTTGAAAATATCTGCTAAATGTGGTGACATTTTACCAAAAATTTGTTGACCAGTGATGTGTTTCCATTATGAAGCTGTAGGAATGATATGATTTCAATAGACTCTAGCTAGAGAATGCAATTATATGTTTTCTTTATTCTATTATGCAATTCCTATGATTCACCCATATTTTTTCTATAATTGAATTACACATGCTTTCAAATTGTAGTATAAATGGGTTGCCATATGTTTAATATATGTTTGAATATGTTTTTTCCGTTAACCAGCTATCGCACCCCTACGAACGACAACCCTCAGAAGTCAAAACTTGTGCGAGCTAAGGACTAACGAGGTCTTACCTTTTACCGTGCGATTCCTAACACGTTATATGTTAGGTCAGGTTAGGTCCAAAGTGAGTGGACCCTCCACCGTAACCCTCAAGGGTTTATTGTGGCTCACACCTATTCACACTCGGCCAAGCAAACCCAGATTCTTAACGAAGCCGATCAGTTTGTATGGTGAGTGGTCTTTCAGGTCAGATGGTAAGAGTACAGCTCTGCCGAACTCTAAAGACCTGATTCGGTCCCCAGCGGGGCAGGCACAAAGTATATGCTCTGTTAATGAGGTAGTCGGATAGTCAAGTTGAAACCCACGACAACCTTCCCATATGAGGGTTTTTGCACGTCACCTACACCTGACGATGCCTTAGATTTAGCAGTGCAGGGCTTTTTCGCCTCTGGTTTTGGTAAAACCTCACTTGAGTGCAAACGTTTGTCAACCTGCTCATGGGGGGTTAGTTCCCTCACCCGAGACATATTCTGCGTACGCCGCAGATCTCGCTCCTGAACTAAATTAACAGGGAGGTCAGTTGGAGTCGTAAACTCGACATCCATCTCCTCTGTAGACTCGCTCCTGAACTGAATTTACAGTGAGGTCCGTTGGAGTCGTTAACTCGACATCCATCTCCTCTGTAGACTCGCTCCTGAACTGAATTTACAGAGAGGTCCGTTGGAGTCGTAAACTCGACATACTTCTCCTCTGTAGACTCGCTCCTGAACTAAATTTACAGGGAGGTCCGTTGGAGTCGTAAACTCGACATCCATCTCCTCTGTAGACTCGCTCCTGAACTAAATTTACAGGGAGGTCCGTTGGAGTCGTAAACTCGACATCCATCTCCTCTGTAGACTCGCTCCTGAACTAAATTTACAGGGAGGTCAGTTGGAGTTGTAAACTCGACATCCATCTCCTCTGTAGACTCGCTCCAGAACTAAATTTACAGGGAGGTCAGTTGTAGTCGTAAACTCGACATTCATCTCCTCTGTAGATTCGCTTCTGAAGTAAATTTACAGGGAGGTCCGTTGGAGTCGTAGACTCGACATCCATCTCCTCTGTAAACTCGCTCCTGAACTAAATTTACAGGGAGGTCAGTTGGAGTCGTAAACTCGACGTCCTTCTCCTCTGTAGACTCGCTCCAGAACTAAATTTACAGGGATGTCAGTTGGAGTCGTAAACTCGACATCCATCTCCTCTGTAGATTCGCTTCTCAACTAAATTTACAGGGAGGTCAGTAGGAGTCGTAAACTCGACATCCTTCTCCTCTGTAGATTCGCTCCTGAACTAAATTTACATGGAGGTCCGTTGGAGTCGTAAACTCGACATCCATCTCCTCTGTAAACTCGCTCCTGAACTAAATATACAGGGAGGTCAGTTGTAGTCGTAAACTCGATATCCATCTCCTCTGTAGACTCGCTCCTGAACTAAATTTACAGAGAGGTCCATTTGAGTCGTAAACTCGACATCCTTCTCCTCTGTAAACTCGCTCCTGAACTAAATTTACAGGGAGGTCCGTTGGAGTTGTAAACTCGACATCCATGTCCTCTGTAGACTCGCTCCAGAACTGAATTTACAGGGAGGTCAGTTGGAGTCGTAAACTCGACATTCATCTCCTCTGTAGATTCGCTTCTGAGCTAAATTTACAGGGAGGTCCGTTGGAGTCGTAAACTCGACATCCATCTCCTCTGAAGACTCGCTCCTGAATTAAATTTACAGGGAGGTCAGTTGGAGTCGTAAACTCGACATTCATCTCCTCTGTAGATTCGCTTCTGAACTAAATTTACAGGGAGGTCAGTTGGAGTCGTAAAGTCGACATCCATCTCCTCTGTAGACTCGCTCCTGAACTAAATTTACAGGGAGGTCAGTAGGAGTCGTAAACTCGACATCCATCTCCTCTGTAGACTCGCTCGTGGATCAAATTTTACAGGAAGATCAGTTGGAGTCCTAAACTCGACATCCATCTCCTCTGTAGACTCACGGCAGAGCCCCGCATTACCGTGACAAGGCGATGCTACGACGAGAGGGCGCCCGGTATCTCGAAGGTTCCGTAGAGACAGCTGATAGGCTCAGTGTCATTCATCCTCTTGGCACGGATACACACACCTAAGGATTAAGCCATCGTTGGATGCCATTCAGTTAGGGAATAACATAACCACAAGTGATTCTGATGTCAATCCCGTATCCAGCGGGGCTACGTGGAAGCAGGCGTTATATGTAATAGTACTTTTACTCAAAAAAAATACACTTAACAGTTTTTTGAAGAATCTAGTTTTAAAATATGTTTTTTCGTTAACCAGCTGTCGCACCCTTACGAACGACAACCTTCAGTAGTCGAAACTTGTGCGAGCTAAGGATTAACGAGGTATTACCTTTCAACGTGTGATTCCTAACAAGGGTTGGACAATACCAAGTGAAAAATCGATCGTTTAGACTAGGGCTTGAACCACCGACCAACACGGCAATCAATTCGAGAGAGTGAACAAAGCACCCACGTTAAACCGCCTGGCTACCGACCGACCAGTTGTTCATTAGTTCATTGAATAATGAATATTCAACTTTCCATCATCAAAGAATTTTTTTCCACTTGAGTTCATTCATGAAATATGTGAATGATGATGTTATACTTTGAGCTGAGATAGCTCAAAGACATACCAGAAAGTGCATATCAGAACTGCTTCGGGGATTGGGAAAAAATCTGGTATAAGTGTATTATATCTGAGAGGGGCTACTTTGAAGGAAATAAAATAGAAATTGACGAATAAATGAACATTTTATGAGAAAAATGAACATTCACTCCATTTTTTGAACGGAGTTGTATATTACCTTCATGAGCTTGTTAACGGTTCAAAATACAGTTGTTGAGGTATTCACATAGAAATAAAACAAACGAGTTATGATATAAATATATATTTTCTAGGTAAAATAATAGTAAAAAAGGCAAAATATTTTGCACTTTCTCTATCACATTATATTTCTAAATTGAGCAAAAAGGGGTGTTTTTTATTCTGCTACAAAATTAATTATTCCAGAATATTTCATAAGAACTTTATAAATTACTTTCAGACCTCAAAAGAGTAAAACTAATATCAAAAAAGTAAAACTCATTTTGTAAATAATTAAAATACCTACCCTTGATCTTTTTGGCTAACCACAATGATCTAAGTTTATGACTACATGAATGCATATATCAGGACCAAAAAAGTTTCATATTTATATATACAACTTGAAACTTGACAATGAAAATTAGAAAGAGTATTCGCTTGTTTTTCAAAAAAAAAATCTTCACATACATTTGAACTGGAAGGAAGAGTAGTGTCGATATTAAAAAATATGTCATTAGGTTGATTAATTTGTAATTTCATTCCATCAAAAAATGTCAAGTTACTTTACAAAAATCATAAATAAAGTTTTTAAAGTAGGTACTTTTAAGATGAAGTAGTTGTTTTCACTTTGTCGTTGTCACTTATACTAACTCAAGTTACCTCAATGTTCAGTGGCATTGTTAGACAATTTTCAAACTGGTGTTGATTTTCTTGTTCTCCAATTTTTTGTAGTTTTAAACAATTACCGCAATACGATAAAAACTACAACTCTACTGCTTCAAAGAGATTCGTAATCAACGTCTTAACGATGTACTCTCAGAGACGAAATACAACTAGTTCCTGCAATTGCAAAGAAGAACTAAATCAAATTGCGGTAAAATCTAACTCTAATGTACAATCTAATCCCAGCCGTTTTGTGGGGGTTGGTGGGGCAAGTCAACACTAAAGAGTTGAAACTAAAATAATTTGTAAGTTGTTCTAAGTTTTCTGAATGTGGCCGCTTAAGATTTATCAGACTACATCGTCGAGCCCTCTTCGTCCAAATCGAGTAATGTATAAGTGTCCCTTCTGGAAATGAATCTGTTGGAATTGTAGATGTATGCGCTACTACGCCTACGAATGTTCTTCATTCCTGAAACAGAAAAGATATAAAAATCAGTATTACAGGATTATCATTATTTCGCAATTGAGAAAGGCAGGTTTTGATTTTCAACATCTCCATCTTTGTGTAAAAAAATTTGGGAACCTTTCATAGAAAGGAAGAAAGCAATAAGTAACTTTCAGATATAAACTGGGATTTTTTGAATGAATTTAGGCTCCATTTTGTGATGTTATCCACATTGGGGCTGATGAGGGAATTAGCCAAGTGTCTTATTCCGAAACATCGGATGTCTCACCAAGAAGGTACAACAAAGCCTCAGATCGGCTAAAAACAAGAGGGGTCCACTATCTGCAGCAGGGGTTTATCGCATACCGTGCACTTGTGGGAAAGTATACAATGGAACCATCAAAAGATCCATGACAACAAGGCTGAATGAGTATAAAGGAAACTGCAGACCAGGGATACCATAGCCGACTGGTACGGGAGGCAGTAGAGATCCACAAACACACGGATAATTTCAACAGAAAAGAAGAATCTCAATTGAATATGGAATCCCATTCTGAGAAGTTCAAAAATAGCAAACAGCATGAGGGCAAGTAGAAAAAGGTCAACGAACGTTATTGACAATTTACCAAATCCAGGTACAGGTAATGAGTGATTTTTTTGCTAGTATCTTTTTGGCAACACTGTTTTTGACAGTGTGATTACGCATGAATCGTGTCTTGTGTCATTGTCAAATTTGTTCAGTTTGGTCTATAATTTAACCATGAATCGACTTACCAATGAACAACGCTTGCAAATTATTGAATTCTATTATCAAAATTCATGCTCGGTGAAGAAAGTGAATCGTGCACTTCTTCAAATTTGTGGGCAGTTTCGTCGGCCTACTGAGAGAGCTATTCGGAAGCTTTTGACTAAATTTCGAAACCGGTTTGCATTATTAGACATTAAACCACCAACACGCATAAGTAGAGTGGGGACCTGAGAAAATATTGCGTCTGTATCCGCCAGTGTTCGTGATGACCGTGAAATATCGATTCGCCGCCGTTCGCAGCAATTGGGCCTATGTTACTCTACTACGTGGAAAATTTCGCGAAAGGTTTTGAGTGTAAAACCTTATAAGATACAGCTGGTGCAAGAATTGAAGCCACACGACCCACCACAACGTCCAACATTATCGAAAAATTGTGTTCAGCGACGAGGCTCATTTCTAGTTGAATGGATACGTTAACAAGCAAAATTTCCGCATCTGGAGTGAAGACCAGTCACAAGCATTGCATCCCGAAAAAGTCACTGTTTGATGTGGATTATGGGTCGGTAGCATCATCGGACCGTACTTCTTCAAAGACGACAATGGCCGGAACGTTACTGTGAATAACGAGCGCTACCGTGTGATGATTGACGACTTTTTGTTGCCCAAAATGGAGGAATTGGACACGCCTGACATGTGGTTTCAACAAGACGGTGCCACATGTCACACAGCACCCAAAACAATGGCCCAATTAAGAGCCGCCTTCGGTGAACAGTTTATCTCACGTCTCCCGTCAATTGGCCGCCTAAATCGTGTGATTTAACGCCTTTGGATTATTTCTTGTGGGGTCATGTTAAGGCTCATGTGTACAGAGATAAACCAGTAACGACTGACGCTCTGGAAGCCAATATTGAAGCATTTATACGTGAAATACCGGTCGATATGTTAGAGAGAGTGTGCCAAAATTGGACCTTGCGCATGGGCCATCTGAAGCGGAGCCAAAAAATTTCAAATTCTTCTCTATTCACATTCTGACAATAATGAAATCTGTAGAGAAGATGCCATATCTTATGAAAACGCCATCTATGAGGTCGACAAAAGACTCATTCCATGAATATCAAAAATAAATGAGGCTCTCTAAGGCGGTTCGCTGCAAAGTTGGGCACCGACATCGAACGCCGAAGATTTGTTCTGTGTCTTTACAGCAGCTCAATGCAAGTCAAAACTCAGATCTTTTATTTGGGTTCTGGTTTCAACTGGGCTAAGCCACGTATCACCTCATTATTGTGGCAGACTGGTTAGAGGAAAGCTGGATATTATCAAAACCGATGGATATTAGGTAGACGTGGTCTCTTAGAATGACCCGCTACATCACCTGATATGACGGCCTTAGATTTTTTGTGGAGATTCGTGCCATCTAAAGTATACGTTACAAAACCGCAGGCCGCACAATATCAGTCTTCCTATTTAACGTTACATCGGGCTTATCAAGAAGTAGTTCAGATACGGCAGCGGTAGCAAACGAAAAAAAAAAACAGTGAACTAACAGTAATTAATATTACTGGAGTTTTTTCCCAACACCAAATCGTTATTTTTAACACCACGACACAGAGGAAGATTAAAACCTCTTTGAAGATGATCACTTGGTGATCGAAACACGTGTCGAGGTGTTAAAAATAACGATTTGGTGTTGGGAAAAAACTCCAGTAATATTTATTACTACACCAAAGGTTCCAAACAGTGCATCATAAGGAACAGTAAATAGTTGAGTGAAGAGTTATTCGAGTGAAGTACTACTGTTTTGATTAGTACTTTTATGTTGCTGTATAAAGTGTGTCACTTATTTAAAAAACAAAAATTAGGCGTGGACTATGGAAAGAGATCTATTGATGCTCACCTATTTCAATGGTTTCCTTGGTGAACAGAAGAGACTTGTATGCGTTAACGAAAGCTCCAAGTATAACACAAGTACCCAAAAATATGCAACCATATGTCAGAAGTGGACTAGCGATGTCTCCAACAGTCGTAGCCAAGTATATCCATCTTCTAATCGGCGGAGTGAGGTCATCAATTCCCTGAAAAAGAAAAGAAAATGTATTATTGAATTATGTTGTTGAATTATGGAACCGAGTTGTATTTCTTCCTCCTGCTGTAGGAATAGGTACAACTTTACCAGTCTTCTCGTTAAGTCGTTAATTCTGAATAGAACTTTTGCATTTTGAATAGAATACCAACATTTTACTTTAAAGATTACTATTTAAGGAAATGTCTCCAACAATGTTACTCTGTTGAATAAACTGAAGCTATCAGATTTGATCTAACATCGTGAGCAATAAATTCTTTATTGTTTACTAACGTTCAAAACAAGACCCTATTCCAAACACCAGAACTTAACAAGTCGGCGTCTTCAGGAGAAACTAACTTTACCTCCTGAATATGCCAACATGGTTGGTAAACCGCTCGTCGAGAAGAGTGATGTAGTTCTGGTGTTTGATGTCTGGTGCTTGTTTTGGATTTATTATACAGCAGAGATCCCAGTTTCACTTTTTAACCGAAATTTTGATTTTTGAGATATCTTCAGAAGATTTTTTTTTGGACTCGAAGAGCCACCCTTCAATGAGTCATCTTATGATTTTTGCCGGCTCTGAAGAAAACTTGATTACACAACTGAGCACTTTAGATCGTTTGTGATCATTTCTCTTCATCACATCAATAAAACAACATATTACTGGAATTACTGGAAAATAGCTGGGAGAGAGAGAGAGAGAGAAATACGTTTGTTATTCTAAGAGAAAGTTCTTGTTGAAATACATTTTTGAACTATGTTAAAATGGTATAAAAGTATTACCTAAAATCTTATCTATATAGAATGGAATATCAAACACATTAGTATAGAGCAAAAATGCTATACAAATTAATTTTTTTTTAATATATGTTATATCAAAGCGAGATACTATAAGTATTTAAATTCTATAATTCACAAAATGAGTCGTCATTGTAAAATTCATCCAAATCATAATAGGCTTTATCAATTGAGTTGTCGCTTAGTTTTTTCCTGGAAACAGTCGAAGAATAACTCTTTGTATATCTTCATTCCATTGTATATTAATGAATACTTCACCATTGTTGTCGTGGGCAGGGACAGTCTGATCAAGTTAGCTTTGCGTGTATTGTTGTAAATCATGCCCTAAAGAAAATAGCGCCGACCGCCACTGGTAGACATAAACCAATTGTGACGTAGCTAAAAGCGCGCGAATGTACGATGTTCGCTGCCACTCTAGATGTAGCAAAAATAAGGAATTTCTGCGAACTTTTCTAGCGCATTCGATAACGATATATAAACGCTAGCCACGAGCATATCGACACAGTCAAGTGGAAGTTACAGTGCGGTACGCGAAGCGATCTGGTGAGGCGATAGACATTCGAAAAATAGTTGAAGTTTTAGTTGAAGTGTTTGTTGTATTTGAAGTGAAAAAGTTAAGTTTGATTATTGTTCAGTGTAGTCAGTTGTTGGTCAACCCACGGGAAAAAACGTAATAGTATTACAGTGCGGCTCGTGTGTGTGCAGATATATTTTTATGAATCAGACTTACTGTTTCAAGAATGAATAGAGAGATTATTGTTAGGATTCGTTGTTCAATATGAATACTGGTTGGCAGTGTTCTGGAAACTTTGCCCTGCACACACACCGAACAGCTCGCTTCTGTAAAACAAATCTTTAGCTGAATACTGCCCAGAAGGCAATGTCATATCTTATATGTGCATCTACAAAGGCAAAGTAAGCAGATCTTGCAAAGGTTCTACCTAGTTCTCTTGAAACTGACTTGGTAAAACAATATCGTAGGCATTTTTTGATCGTCCTCTTTTGCGTTTTTTCACCTTCCACAATCTGAAGAAAACAGCGAGTCTTGGCTCTCCTGGGTCCTTCCATTGGGGCGATTGGAGTTTGGTTTTGATGTCATAACCATACAGGGTGTTAATTAAGTATGTACCATGAATTCAACAGACGATTCTTTAGGTAATTTTAAGATGAAATGTTCATATAAACATGGGTCCGCAAATCCTTCGTTTTCAAGATACGGGGTGTTGAAATAAAAATTAAAAAAAAGTTATTCGTGTATATCTTAAATATCCTTTACCTAATTTTGTTGTAATTTGGCAATGGTATTTATAACATTAAGGAGCTGATTTATCTCTTTTCATTTTCCAACATCTTGTCTTTATGTTTCCTAGTTAACTTATCTACTATATGTGAAAGATAGCCGTTGCTTACAGCTATGTCCCTGCTAACATTTTTCCCATTATCGTATCTTTCTTTACTCAAGGAAAACATTTTTCATCTTCACATTCAATACTTTTTCTTTCAGCTCTGTTATTATTTTGTATATCTACGTTATAAAAAATCAATTAACATTTTACCTCTTCAAGCCAGATGATGGGAAACACCATACTTGGAAAATTTTTAACAGCGACGATGTATGGGGCCTGATCAACTTTCAGATTCAACTGCACTCGTATCTTTCCTTCTACTGGCACTCCCAGTTTCTGAAAAGTAAAACAGATGGCTGAGACAGTTTTCTATTTCATCAACAAGCAAAGTCGCATCAGCCACGTGAGTTTCAGCAACATCATTATTCACAAAGTAAAATTTTACATAATACACTGAATCGAAAATGAACATTAGATCTCATGTACATGACGTAGGTCATTTCCTTCCATAATGCGGGTATTTTCCTCAGGAGACTATCTTTGCTGTCTTCAGCCTGAAATGACCTAAACCTAACCCTAACCTAATCCCAACCTAACCTAACCTAACCCTAACCTAAAGTTCAAATAGAAGTTTCAATTTTTGTCGTCAACCTCAGCCTCAGTAACGTAGTGGTAGCGCTTTTGGTATTGAACTCTGAGCTAACCTAACCTAACCTAACCCTAACCTAACCTAAAGTTCTAATTGAAGTTTCAACTTTCATCTTCCACCGCAGCCTCAGTGACTTAGTGGTAGCCCTTTTGGTACTGAAAGCTGAGCTAATATTAATTACTCTGACCCCTTTATGGGTTTTACATATTAATAACTACATAAGCTGTGATTGAGAGCTGCTATGAAGACCGTATTGTCGTCTCTAGTTTTTTACATCCTGTCAGACTAATGTCCATACTGATCTGACCAAGGTTTCGGAGGCTAAGATGGTTATAGCGTAGTACTAAAGAAAGGGAGGCTGTTTGGATGCTGTAGATCTAGATCTGTTGAATATCGATTGTGTCTTTTATAAAATGGAACTGTTGCCATCTTTCTCCATCTATGAGCTGCGCTAAATCGATTCGCAATGGTGTTATGCTGCACATGACAATTAGAGCTGGTTGAAATGGGTGTGGCATATTTTACTGTTTTTAATTGCTATATTGTGAATTACATCAAGTTCTTGCAGGACCGATTTTTTGCAAAGAGTTCAGTTTAGATCGAACCAACGATTTATAGATTGTGATGTCATGGTAGATTCTAAACCTCATTGTTCTGCAGCGATTGTCTTCATAAGATTCAGTCTATTTTTGTAGCCTTGTTTCAGATGTTAGATATGGATCTGCCAATTATCATGCCTATGAATTTAGTGTTTTTAACATATTCGATATCATTATCGACTATCTGTAATTTTGAAGGGTACATTTTGAGATGAATACATTTGGTTTTTGTGAATTCATACATCTTTGCAGGCGATATCTTTGATTTTGTTCTTATTGTTGTAATGAGATTCCTACAACTGAAATCATAAGGAAGAAATTGAATACTTCTGGCCATAACGTGAGCTGCTGTGACAAAACTCTGCAGAATTTGATGAAGAAACTAGGATTTAAATTCAAAATAATAAACAAACTTCAGACAGTTATGGAAAGCAGAAGAATAGTGGAATTGCGTAAAAAATACTAAATACAGACTAGAACAACGGCAAATTTTCTATTTGGACGAAATTTGGTATGACACTCACGATACAGTTACGAAAGGGTTGACTGATGGTTCGAAAATGTGTACGCCTAACATCCCTGCAAACAAAGGATCGCGACTAATCACTGTGCATTGCGGAGGAAGTAAAGGATAGGTTCCGAATTCTTTGAAATCATGTGGAAAAAAACTGCAATGTTGACTATGTAGACAAGAACAACGGCAAATCTTCTATTTGGACGAAATTTGGTATGTCACTCACGACTCAGTTACAAAACGTACCTGATTTCACATAAAAATAACATTTGTTTACAAAACACCGACAAATACCGACTAGGTGATAAATACCATTAACAATTCTAGATTCTTAAATCAAACATAAGTTCCACTAACTCATCGAGAAACGTAAACATACTAATGTATGGCAACAGCAACGGAATGGCTCCACTTCTAGGTTACCAGCAATTGAACCATTGGTTTTACCCTGGAAATCACTTCCAGAAACGAGAAAATTGCAAGTTAAGTGTCAAACATTTTTTATCTGAGTGCGAGAAAATTGAGTTCGAAATTCCCCCTTCAATTGTAGTAACCTTAGGACAAAATTGCAACTATGAAAAACGAATTGCCTTTCTAAGACGTATAAAGCTGCTGCACCGTATATGAAAATTTAATATAAGAAATCAATACCGTTATAATTATGCGACATTAAATAAACGTATCTAATTAAAAAAAATCTAGATTCTTATAGATTCACTAAAGTAATGCAATAAAATCGGGAAACTATCATGTATTTCATACATAACAACATAACCTAATATATTATTTTATGTCAGTGTCATCATCATTCACATCTACCTCTCAATTTATATCATTACGTTGTAGAAAACACTTTACCGTCACATGGAAATGAAGGGAGCCATATTTGTTGACAGATTTGCCTGAAAATTCTTTTCATATGAGTTTCAGCACTGGTATACCGCTTGTCAGATGAAGGAAAAGCTTTTTGAATACCGTTATGGTTCCGCCCACTAGATGTGCGTTCGTTAAAACACTATGAGAACGAGAGAGAATTATCAAGTCTCCTCCTAGATTTGACAAGCTGTATAGGCATCTTAATACGAACAAAAATAAATAAATTGACATTTACTTACAGGTTGAATTTTGAAGTACGATTGATGCTTTTCTCGATCTGGTTTGAGTCCTTCTACATGTTCGATTAAACTTGGATCAGCATCAAGAAAATGGGGGTAAGAGATATATACTGGAGCATCTGTGAACAAATAATTTTATGTATTTGATTTATCTCCTGAGAACGAACTACATATCTCCCAGCTCTCTTGTGTTAGCTGAAAATCAATAAAAAATATTTGTTTTTTATAGAAAAAGTGAGCACTCGGCGTACTATATGACATTCAAACAATTGCAGTTTTCGATTTTGTTCTTTCAATCGAACTTGAGTTGGATGTTTTTTCATAATATTAGGTCTGTTGAAAAAATAAGGTGAATGTTCAAAACTTCCGGTTTTGTGGCATTTGCATCACGATAATTCACCTGCTCACTCGTCATTGCTTGTTCGTGATTTTTTGGCCAAAAACAACATCGTAATGATGCTTCAGCCATCGTATTTACCGGATTTGCCTCCCTGCGACTTTTTTCTGTTCCCAAGTTCGAAGATACCCATGAAAGGATGGGTGCATTGCATATCACAACTACTTTGAATAGGTCAAAATAGAAATTGATGAATAAATGCGAGGAAAACAAAAATTTGAAAAACCTCGTATCTATTTTCTCATGCTCATAGTTATAAATTTTGGAATGATCGCAAACCCACTCACCAAATTGACAAGGGCTGATATTTTGAAGTCCTTTAGGAGGGCAGTATTCATTACGTGGACAATAGCATTTGTTTTCCGGATATTTATCTACTGATTCCATCGTGGTGTCTGGCGGTGTGTAGAGGTCTGCAGAAATTCCTGAAAAAAAAGTGAATGCAGATCTGAAGGTTATAAACCTGATATTTCAAATTATTTGAGTACAATGCCAACACTAACTCATTTGAATTGAGTAGTTTTTGGAAAAGCTATTTGAATTAAATTGTTGTTCCATTTACGAAACAACTTCATAGCTGATTTTTAGGTTATTTTTTACAAAAAAAACATTCGAGAAAGTTGTTATTTCCTTCTTTTGGGAGCTAGTAAATAAAAGCTTGTTTTTGAAGGTGTTTTGTCATCATTACTTTATTTGTCATTTTTTAGGTTATTCCTACACATGTTCGTTAGTCTGATTCTTTTGATGGAGTATGGTCGCATCTAAAACTTAGCATCACTAGGCGATAACAACAACTGGTTTAGTGTACCTACCTCAATTGTGGTATAGAAAAAGTTCTTCAATTTGTGTCATATCTGTATATACAAGAAAATAGTCAAAATCAAAAAACTTAAAATAATTCCAGTGGTAGATAAAACATGCTGTGACGATGTGATGTGCTCGAGAGAGTTTAACATATTACTTACTCTTCGCTCTTAGCAAAGCTTTTCATTGCTTCTCGCAAAAGGTATTGCTTGAGAAACTTGAATATTATGGTGTCAGAGGAGTTGCATTTTTTTTCACTCACATATGTCTCAACCTGTACACGCGGTTTTTCATGATTCCACATTATACTCTTATCATTAAATCATTTGTAGTGTACCTCAAGGTTCAGTTCTGGGGTCACTTCTTTTCATTTTCTATATTAATAACTGTTTCGAACACCTTGATTACTTTTATGGCATTTTATTCGCAGACGAAGCTGATTTTCATCACTCCGGCCCTAATGTCATGAATATGACTGTTAAAGATTCGAAAATTTTGCTGAATATCAATGAATTATCAAAACCTGATGAACTCTCACAAAATCAAGCTGAAACTCAAATATTTATTTCTATTATGAACAGTACTTTGAATTCGCACGACTCTGTGGAACTATTAGGTACTACATCTGTCCTTTGAATAGAAATAACACTTTGATCATATAACAAAAAAACTATCGAGTCAATTATTATTGTTAGGGATAATCAGGAGATCATACTGAGAAACCTGCTGTAAGGATCATTGCAGAAAAAATATCAGAATCTACTTGGTGAATAAAAATTTTCAGGCATACTAAGACCATATGGCTGACACAGTAATTCTTCACCATATGTATATGCATGTGTTGCATATACGCATTTCTGTTTTGTTTAAAATCTGGTTTTCCGTTAACCAGCTTATCCTATCCTTTTTCCCTTAACCAGGTTATCCTATCCTCTCATAACCTGTCCCGTCCCGTCCCGTCCCGTCCCGTCCCGTCCCGTCCCGTCCCGTCCCGTCCCGTCCCGTCCCGTCCCTTTCCTTCCCGTCTCGTCCCGTTCCGCCCCGTCCCGTCCCGTCCAATCCCAGCCCACTCCATTACATCCTATGTGGGCTGTGAAGATGTCATATTCTTAGTAGCGTTTCATCTTAGACTGCCTGTGTTGAAATACCTCTAACCAACAACACGATTGAGAAGAGATTTTTTTGTTTTCATACTGTCCTTTTTGTAAATACATTCGTATTTACAAAGATGAAGAACAACAGGCAAAGTTATCTCTCACATGAGAATAGCTTCTTCAAAAAGAGTTTACGAAAAAAGGAAACCGTAAATGTGAGGTAACTTTGAGAAATAAAATAAAACGTTGTTCTCTTCAACGTATTTCATGATGTTAAATGATAATTACATATACTTATTGTTCAATATATTCTAATAGTGTTGCAAAGTAACCCCACTCTATGGTACAAAAGATTATCATACTCACCATGTTTCGTAACTGGCCCACGGTATTGCAAAGGTAGCGTCCTACACAAATCCTTATCATAAAGGTGAACAATATCTGCTTTGGTAAAATATCTTGGTGGAAAAAAAGAACCTTCGCTTCCGCTCAGACTGTTACAAGGTTCCTGGTCCCAGAAGGGAAGGAAACTCTTCCCGTTCAGTTTTGTGATCAGTCCGAATTCTTCCATTCCATTCACACCTGTGTTGATATTGTGAACTTCTGGCAGGGTCCCATTCCGCTAAAACACGCTCCATTATTCTTTTTCTTTCTCAAGGTTAATGCTTTGCAGAATATTCATATGAGCGATGTAAGAGTTAATGATGAGTTATAATAAAACGTCCAGTCAATAATCAAGAAAGGAAAACCAATTCTCAAATGGATCAAGTAGAGCTGAGGTTCTATTGTGTTTGTCTTTATATGTTACTGGAGGTGAATAGCCAAAGCGTTACATGATTCAATACCAGACAGACAGATCTGTCATGGATCCCATCAATAGGGGTTGGGTTCATAGGAAAGGCGTGAAAGCTGCAGAAAGCTTAGCTTTGAAGACTACTTTGATATTCGTGATTTCAATTTTCCATCGACAAATGGCTAGTTAGGGAAGTCGCTATTGTCACTTTCATAACCACTTACAAATGTCAAGTATTGGAAAACAATAATTAAATTTCTTCTTCATTTATATCGAACTCAAGTTTTTTTTTAAATTAATAACTAAAATGAATATTTTCAGAAACTGAACAATATTTACTATCATTCGAATCCGTCTGTTGAAGCAGCCTGGAGACCAAATGCATGTAAATATATTTTTGATATTCCCAAGTTGATACTTACGTTGATGAGCAGGCCCATTTTTTCGCCTGGTCGTTTGCTTTTTCGATAAAATTGATGAGCAAGGGAAACAAGTCTGTCGTCGTAACCAAAAACCAATTCATCTGCTGTGAGGGTGACAAACGGTTCAAATCCATTCATGCTTAACATGATCGAGATGGCTTTCTGAACGAAATAATTCATACTGTTTGCCTGCGTCGCTAATGTCTGAAACAAAGGAACTTTTTCTACAGATAATCTTAACTCGGTTTTAGGACATTAGGAATAGCACACTTTATACAGGGTCTGATCAACTAATACTGGAAATTTGTATTGAGGGTTTGTCAGTGGTGGATGCTATTTCGGTATTCCTCTATTATACTCCAGTGATATTGGAAGGTCTCAAGCATTCTGAAAGTTCATCGTGAAATCCAAGAAGGATGAGATTCATCGCTCCTTGATTTCAGAACTTGGAGGAAGAGCAATTCTCTCTCCAATGTTTTAGGGGTAAGACATATAATACTGAGTCTGATCAACTGACCCTGGCAATTTGTACTGAGGGTTCGTCAGTGGTGCATGCTATTTCGGTATTCCTCTATCATACTCCAGTGATATTGGAAGGTCTCAAGCATTCTGAAAGTTCGTCGTGAAATCCAAGAAGGATGAGATTCATCGGCTCTTGATTTCAGAACTCAGAGGAACAGCAATTCTCCTACAGTGTTCTAGGGGTAAGACATATAATACTGAGTCTGATCAACTAATCTTGGCAATTTTTACTGAAGGTTTGTCAGTGGTGGATGCTATTTCTGTATTTCTCTATCATACTCCAATGATATTGGAAGGTATCAAGTATTCTGAAAATTCATCGTGAAATCCAAGAAGAATGAGATTCATCGCCCCTTGATTTCAGAACTTAGAGAAACAGCAATTCTCTCTTCAGTGTTTTAGGGGTAAGATATATAATACTGCGTCTGATCAGATGCTCTTGGCAATTTGTACTGAGGGTTTGTCAGTGGTGGATGCTATTTTGGTAATTTCTCTATCATACTCCACTAATATTGGAATATTTGAAGCATTATGAATATTGACCGTAAAACCCAAGACGAAGAAATTCTTTGCCACTTGATTTCAGAACTTAGGGGAACTGCAATTCTCTCTTCCAGAGAAAATACATAATACTTAGTGTGATCAACTGATTTTGGCAATTTGTACTGAGAGCTTTCCATTGGTGAAGTTTATTTGTGTATTTCCCTATCATACTTCACTTTCCTTAGAAGGTCTGAAGCATAATGAATATTCATTGTGAAATCCAAGAATGATGAATTTCATCCCCATTAATTTCAGGATTGAGAGGAACGGCAATTCTCTCGACTGTATTTGAGGGGTAAGCCATACGATACTGTGTTAGATTAGTCACTTTTAGGTGCTAACTGGATTGAAATCTTATTTCAGTCGAGATGAAGAACATTTTTTTCATATAAGAAGTTATACACCGAAACAATGTCGAGAGTTTGTTTCTATTTATTTGTTCACATCATGGAGTAATTTCTGAGGTTTTTCAGTTCATTTGTGTAATGATTTACATACCTATTGCGTAGATGATATTTTTGGGAAAACTTACCAGGAGAGGGATGTTTGGAACAACAATTTTCTTGTTCCTATCGGCCGAAAGTTCTGGAACGAATTGTAGAATTTTCTTGTGTTGAAAAGATACTGTCCCGTTATCATGAAATTGAATGTTGACTTTCTCCATATCTTCTCTGTAATGAAAAAAAAACTATGGATAGCGGAGATACTAGTATGGCTATACGGTGTGTTTGTCTAGAAAGATAATAATGATAATGATGGCATCATATAGTAATAAACTGAAAAGTGTTCACTCTTGAAATATTATTTTATAAAAATATCAGTATCTAATGTAAAACTTTTCAATTGAGTTTAGTAAACATTTTTTGTACTGCTGTTTACCCTGTACCAATTTGACACAACTTGTGTGGATTGACGTGGGTGGTTTGCTTCACTCACTCAATCGACCGCTGTGTGAGCCGGTGGTTCGATACGCAAGGTCGGATGATCGATTTTCACTTGCTATCGTCCAACCCGTGTTGGGAATCACACGTTAAAAGGTAAGACCTCGTTAGTCCTTATCTCACACAAGTTTCGACTTTTGAGAGTTGTTCGTAGGGGGTCGACAGCTGGTTAACTGAAAAACAGATTTCAACAGATTTTTTAAACCATTTTATTGCCCCATATTTCCATAATGATAAAGTATTAATTGACTATGACGGGATAAAGAGAAACCTGACTTTTTGAAAAAAGTGTGTCTTTAAAATCATCGTAGAATTTGACTTATTACATAGTCATTATTCAATTCTATTGATTTATTATATTTGTTGTTGGTGATCTGAGGCCATTTATTGCGTAAATGAATATTGAAAAATACCAATTATCAATTTTACTCGTAGGAAATTTATTGCGATGTTTTTTGCTTTCACAGGACACAACAAACCGCTACTATTTTTACGGATTCGAATGAAGTCATTACGATTCGAGGAAGGATGTAATGCAAATCCAAGGATTTTCGTTCAAAATAGGTGATTAGGGTAAAAACAAATCCAAGTCTTATTCGACAAATATTAAAATACCTCAACATCAACAAAAGTTGCCATGTGCTACCGTGGGGCCCCGTTTTGTGTTGTGTGTTAGTCCATCGTGTTGATAATTGAAATGTGTGAGAGTCTTTCCAAAAAGTGAAAAATAAGGGGCACCCTTTATTCACGCCGGTATCCAGGCCGGGGTGGTTCGGATAACCACGTAAAGGGGCTGTATATGTGAAAAAAAACCAAAAGGTCTCCCGAACAGAAGGTGACTTGATGAAAAATGTAATTGATTTCATATAAAAAAAAGATCGAAAAAAAAAACGGGTGGCAGCATTGCGCCCCCCGACGAAGTTCCTGTCAACCTGTCACTCCCATATTGATCTCAATTTAAGAGCCACCGGTAGACAGCTGTTTCAGCCTATTGGGCATCGTCAGTACCGGGCAGGCGGTCCTCGATTGAAGACAAAATGAGAAAAATTTTTTTTTGGTCACACAATGTCTATGTTTTTGCCACAATAAAACTTTGCGGGTTTCGGTGTAGGGACCCACTCACTTTGGACTTATCCTAACCCATTCCTCTTGAAGGCATCTTTTAGGTGATTGAGTTTCTCAGGAAGACTCAGATTCACGAATACGTCGTGCTATTGCAACCAACGTTTTAATAACCCCTTTTTTTGTTGTGGCTGGTGGTTAGAGTTGTTGTTCAGGTACCTGACTGTGTGTGTTGATTTTCTGTAGTCTATGTAGCCCCATGTACCATCTTCACATATGTTCACAAGAACATACAAAAACGCTAGAGTTCCTTTGGGCTTCTCGTTCCATTGTGAATTGGATTTTTGGGTCAAGATAGTTTAGATGTGAATAAAATATTTTTTCTCAGAAATGTTGTCGAATTGACTTCTGTTGTTTCTTGTTGTATTTACTTTCATTCAATTTTCTATTTGATGATAACTCAATCGACAAAACATTATTTTACATCAAACATTTTATTGTGAGACATCAAATGATTGATTTCAAACATATCATCCCAAAGTAATTTTGTAATTTGAAATGTTAACTTACATTTTCCATTAGAACATAACTGTCATCATACTCTTTAGAGATATACAAGTCATTATCAAATTATCTCATTATCATTATATTGCCATTATATTTTATTACGTCGACTTGAGCCTTGGAAAAAATTTGTGGAAAAATTCAAACGAAACCAAATGGACTCCACGTTTTGGAGTTCATGCTACTTTTTTATTCATCAAAACAAACTAATTATGACGTATTATGTGGTGATCATGAAAACGAAATAAAAAATTTCATCACAAATTTCATATAAGTTCCTTGCACATTTTGAATTAATTGGTGTTTTGGTGGATATTTTCACGAACTGTCAATGACGTATTCAGGTGACTGGTTAGAGAAAGGTAAAGCACGTTAAATTTGAAAAAAAAAACATTTTTCAACGAATACATTGACATTTGTCAACGAAGATATATTATGAGAGATGACAAGAATAGAAGATACCTACTCATATTGGAAAAAAAATAATCAATGCTTTGAATAAAATCAGACTCTTTCTTAAGGAGTTTTCTTAACTCTTCAGTTGAAACTTCATTGTACCAAAGCAGATTCACTGTTAATTTTTTTTTACTTTTCAAATTTTGAAGAGATATGAACCTGTATACATAAAAAAACCATTGACTGCTACATAGAAAATAACATTCAGTTTGTAAAAAATAGGTCGAATAAAATGAATATCACTTGTTTGCAGTCCACATTATGTTGAACCCCGATCCGTTTCGGCTCCGCACAGGTGCAATGCTGATACTAAATAATAATAATAAATTCACCCGCCGGTAATATAAGGGTGGAGAAACGGTGATGAAAAAATAATTATGTTTTATGGAGCCGCCTCTTTCCCCTGCGGCTGGCACCCCGGTTGAAATATTTAACCAACTGTCGGCCCCCTACGACCAACAACTCTCAAAAGTCTAAACTTGTGCAAGCTAAATACCCCAATTGGAATATTTGAAAATCATTTCTTAGTGCGTATCTAAGACCTAAAAAGCACCTATTTACCAAATGTCACCAGTACAGAGGAACAGAGATGAATGAAGTGACTTTTGCATTTATGAGTTTAAATAGTTATTCAGACCGTTTTGCTATTTCGAAAATGGTAAGACCTACAAGGACGGTTGAATTGGACAAACGTTTCCCATTTTGGGAACTACAATAATCTCTTTTCAAATCGATAATATCAGATCAGAGAATTCATTCCAGTAGGTACTCTTATAAATTTTTTATCCGCTATTTTTATTTTCCAGAAAACATCAGAAACAAACATTTATGTTTGAGAATTGAAGCAAACTGGAAATACAGAGTTTTTCTTGTGATGCACTGGTGTAGTAATGAATGGTACTGAAGTTTTTTCCTAAGGCCAAACCATTATTTTAACACTTCGAAACGTATTTCTATCACCAAGCGATCATCTTCCTCTTGAAAATGATCCTTTGGTGATCGAAACACGTATCGAGGTATTGAAATAGCGGTTTGATGTTGTGAAAAAACTCCAGTAATATTCACAGAATTTTTTGTGTGACATCAAATCCATGGTTATTAAAAATATACAGGGTGGGGCACCGAAAACGAAACAGATCGAATATCTTCAAAACACATGTTCTGAAAAAAATGCAAAAACACGTCGATTTGTAATCCATGGGGAACATCTTCCTATCATAACCTCAACTGGCATACCTCTTCCCCCACCTCTCGGTGGCTATCACCCAAACAATTGGAATAGGGAAAGTAGTAAGTGTGATACATCGTTAAAAAGGTAATTCCATAAGGAATTCAGCCACGTCAATTTTAGCTACCTAACTATCAATTTTGGCGCCTTCTTGCGGGAAAAAAATCTGTTTCGTATTCCAAATTATGATACTTCATTCGCAAGCTAATTTGACATAAATTCGGTGACAATGCATTATGGAGTTTTTCTAGGAGAAATAAACAAGATGACGGCTTCACAATGGCGGACAAGATTTGCAATTATGGCCCGATTTGATTCAAAATAGATAAGTGGTGGTTTTCAGGGTCGGAAATTATGAATTGTTTTTCAATGCAAAAAATCAAGATGGTGGCTCCAAAATGGCGAACGAAATTTGTAATTATGGTTCACCCGACACCGAAAACGAATTCTTCAAAACACATGTGTTGTGAACATAATGAAAAAAACGTCAATTTTAAATCCAAGGGGGACACATTTTATCGTTACCTCAACTGTCATACTTCTCTCCCCACCCCTTGTTCACTCATACAATTTGATTGGGGCAAGTACTAAGGGTGACACAGCATTGAAACGGTAATTCCATAAGGAATTCAGACATGTGAGTGTTCGCTACTTAACTTTTCATTTTGGCGCTCTATTGCAGGAAAAACCACTGTTTCGTTTTTCAATTCACATTTTATTTGAAAAGTAATGTAAATGGCCCCACAAAAAGTAATCTAAGGGGGATAAATCTGGAGATCGGGGGGGGGGGGGGCTTTCAATGCATCCTCTTCTTCCAATCCAGTGTCTGTGAAATCTTTCATCCAGGTACTGACGAACCGATACAGGAAAATGTGGAGGAGCTCCGTCTTGTTGGAATATTAGGTGATCCTCAAGGTATCGGTTATCGTTCTCTATTATTTCCGTTAACATTGGATCAACGGTATCTTCGAGTAATTCCAAATGCATATCCCCAGTCAAATTACCTGGTAGAAAAAATGGATCAATAATACGATCGCCAAATATTCCAGCCCAAATATTCAATTTTTGTGGGGATTGCGTATCTACTTGGTGAAACACTCTTAGATTGCATCTGACCAGTACCGACAATTATGTCGATTGACAATCCCGTTGAGATAAAAACTGCATTCATCCGAAAAACAAATATTGAAAACGAAATTTGGATCTTGTATAGCACGTTCAGTCATGATTTCACAAAATTGTATTGGACGATCAAAGTCGTTTTCGTTAAGTTCCTGAACCAGTTTAATTTCGTATGGATGGAATTGAGCTTTCAAAATTTGCCCGATGGTACGTCGACTTACTCCAGATAATTCGGCAAGCTTTCGTGTACCAAGAGTTGGATCCGCAGCAACCTGTCCGAAAACTGCTACCTCCACTG